TACAAAGACCCCAAATATCTCTTTATAAACACCAGAAATATTTCTTTATAAATACCCCAAATATCTCATTATAAAGACCCCAATTATCCCTGTGGGAAGACCCCAAATCTAAAACAGATAAACTAAAATAGATAAATATATATTTTCAGCTAATAAACTGAAAATATTTTATAAAGTACTGTAAGTAGAAATGAATTAGTTTCTGATTTTGAAGCAGTGCTGTGACAAACTCGGGGACAGCTGCAGCCACCCCAAACCCCAAAATCCCAAAATCCCAAATCCCTCCTGCAGCTCAGGTTACAGCTCCCAGCCTTCCTGCCCAAAATAATCCAGGGCAAAAACCTCTCCAAAATTCAGCTGTTCCCTGCTAAGCCTTGACACCAAACTGGTGCTTCATTCCCTCCACCATGAGCAGCATTTTTATATATAAATAATACCTTATAAAAAAAACAAAAAACAATAACAACAACAACCCAGCACTAAAATATATAGATAAATAAAAATAAATATAAATATAAGTCTAAATATACCTATAAATATAAATATAAGTCTAAATATACCTATAAATATACCTATAAATATACCTATAAGTCTAAATATACCTATAAATATACCTATAAATATACCTATAAATATACCTATAAATATACCTATAAATATACCTATAAATATACCTATAAATATAAATATGTATGCATAAATAAATACACATTATATAAATATATAAAATATATATAAATAAATATTCCAATGGTAGGGGGGAAAAGGTGGATAAATCCTAATGACAGATGGAAAAAAAAGGGGGAAAAAAGGTGGATAAATCCTAATGGCAGGTGAAAAAAAAGGGGAAAAAAAGGGTGAATAAATCCTAATAGCAGGTGAAAAAAAAGGTGAATAAATCCTAATGAGAGGTGAAAAAAGGGAAAAAATAAAGGTAGATAAATCCTAATGGCAGACCAAAAAAAAGGGAAATAAAGGTGGATAAATCCTAATGGCAGACCAAAAAAAAGGGAAATAAAGGTGGATAAATCCTAGTAACAGATTAAAAAGAAAGGGGAAAAAATAAAGGTGGATAAATCCTAATGAGAGGTGAAAAAAATGGGAAATAAAGGTGGATGAATCCCAATGGATGCCAAGTGAGCAGAGGATTGATTAAATTGGATTTCTCAGTGGATTTCAGAATTCCCCACAAATCCATTCCCACAAAAAAAAAGCGTTCCTAGATTTCCCAAACTCCTGGTGGGAGATAAAAGCACTTTATCTGAGAGGTGCAGGAACGGGTCCTGCCGGCTCATTCAATTGTTGACTGAACTGCGGGCACACCCCGAAAACGCCTGCCAGGAGTCAGCCTCACCTGCCAAACAGGTGAGACACAGCTAAACCAGGGAGATAAAAACTTAAAAAAAGTCAAATTTCCTTTTAGGAACTGGAATTGATCAGCTGGGAAGGGATGAGGTGGATTTGACACCGAGTTGGAGGTGATTGTTAATTATTAGATGTTAATTATCTTGTAAGATGCCTGAAAAAATCAGCTTTACCTGCCAAGCTGCACGTGAGACAGCTAAATCATGGAATTGAAACATTGAAAAAGTCAAATTTCTTTTTAGGAACTGGAATTAATCAGCTGGGAAGGGATGAGGTGGATTTAACATGGAGTTGGAGGTGATTAGATGTTAATTATCAGGTGTTTGTCCTACAAGATGCCTGGCAAAAAAGCTTTACCTGCCAAGCAGGTGAGACAGCTAAACCAGGGAGGTAAAACATAAAAAAAAGTCAAATTTCCTTTTAGGAACTGGAATTGATCAGCTGGGAAGCGATGAGGTGGATTTGACACCGAGTTGGGGGTGATTGTTAATTATTAGATGTTAATTATCAGGTGTTTGTTCTATAAGATGCCTGGCAAAAAAGCTTTACCTGCCAAGCAGGTGAGACAGCTAAACCAGGGAGGTAAAACATTAAAAAAGTCAGATTTCTGTGTAGGAACTGGAATTGATCAGCTGGGAAGGGATGAGGTGGATTTGACACTGAGTTGGGGGTGATTGTTAATTATTAGATGTTAATTATCAGGTGTTTGTTCTATAAGATGCCTGGCAAAAAAGCTTTACCTGCCAAGCAGGTGAGACAGCTAAATCATGGAGCTAAAACATAAAAAAAGTCAAATTTCTGTGTAGAAGTGGAATTGATCAGGTGGGAAGTGATGAGGTGGATTTGACACGGAGCTGGAGTGATTGTTAATTATTAGATGTTAATTATCAGGTGTTTGTTCTACAAGGTGCCTGAAAAAATCAGTTTCACCTGTCAAGCTGCAGGTGAGACAGCTAAATCATGGAATTTAGACATTAAAAAAGTCAGATTTCTGTGTAGGAACTGGAATTGATCAGCTGGGAAGGGATGAGGTGGATTTAACATGGAGTTGGAGGTGATTGTTAATTATTAGATGTTAATTGTCAGGTGTTTGTCCTATAAGATGCCTGGCAAAAAAGCTTTACCTGCCAAGCTGCAGGTGAGACAGCTAAACCATGGAATTGAAACATTGAAAAAGTCAAATTTCTTTTTAGGAACTGGAATTGATCAGCTGGGAAGGGATGAGGTGGATTTGACACTGAGTTGGGGGTGATTGTTAATTATTAGATGTTAATTATCAGGTGTTTGTTCTACAAGATGCCTGAAAAAATCAGCTTCACCTGTCAAGCTGCTGAGACACAGCTAAATCATGGAATTGAAACATTAAAAAAGTCAATTTTCTGTGTAGAACTGGAATTGATCATGGGAAGGGATGAGGTGGATTTGACACCAGGATTTCTCAATATCTGAGGTGTCCAGTCTGAAGATTTCAGTTCTTCTTTTCCCTCCTAACACCAGGATTTCTCAATATCTGAAATATAAATTCTAAATATTTCAACTTGGTTCCTTCCTTCCCTCCTAACACCAGGATTTCTCAATATTTGAGGTGCAAAATCTCAGTAATTTAACTTGGTTCTTTTTTTCCCTCTAATATCAGGACTCCTCAATATCCACAGTGTAAATTCTGAATAACTCAATTAATTTTTTCCCTCCTAACACCAAGATTTCTCAATATTTGAGATGTAAATTCTAAATATTTCCACTTGGTTCCTTCCTTCCCTCCTAACACCAAGATTTCTCAATATTTGAAATATAAATTCTAAATATTTCCACTTGGTTCCTTTCTTCCCTCCTAACACCAGCATTTCTCAATACCTGAGGTGCTCATAACTTAAATATTCCAAGCTGATTTCCCCATCCCAAGCTCGTGTTCTCCCTCTCACAGACATTCTGTGTCTGGCCACGGGGGAAGCAGTTCATAATTCCAGCCTTAAAAAAAGTGCTTTTGATAAAAATCCAAGGCAGTGCTCTGAGAGCTGTTTTGTTTTTGTGGACAGAGCAGGATGATGTTGCCTGAATGCTAAAAAACTTGGCCTGGAGCCCGCACACACACACACACACACACTGAAAATGGGTAAAATAAATAAATGAACAGATCAATCGGGGCTGACGTCAGCAGGAAAGGGTCACTGCCATGTGGGACAGACAGACACGGGGACAGCGAGGTCACAGCGCTGGCTCGGGGCCAGCCAGCAGCTCATGGCACAGGGGGGGACAAAAAATGGGAATAACAGAGAAAATAAAGGTGGATAAATCCTAATGATAGGGGGAAAAAGGTGGATAAATCCAAATGACAGGTGAAAAAAAAAGGGAATAAAGGTGGATAAATCTTAATTATAGGCTGAAAAAAGGAGGAAAAAGGTGGATAAATCCTAATTATAGTTTAAAAAAAGGCAAATAAAGGTGACTAAATCCTACTGGATAAATCCTACTGGGTGCTAAGCGAGCAGAGGGCTGATGAAAGCATTTCCTGCCCAGCTCCATGAATAAGCCCCGTGATGCCAGGATGCCAGAGCTGTCACCTCACCTGGCCCTGCCCAGCGGCAGGACGAGCAGGCTCTCCCCGCAGGGTGAACCCCGGCCACGGCAGGACCCCTCGCACTGCTTTTACCTCCACGAGCACACAAACCCACCACAAAACGCCAATTTGGCAGCCGGGCCTGTGGCACGGAGCTCTTCTGCACGGAGCCCGCGGTACGAGCGTTTCTAGAAATGCAGAAAACCATCGCGCGGCTCGGAAACCATCCTGAACGCTCCTCCGACAAAACGGGTTTTGTTATCTGGATGATTTATTTTTTTTTCTTGCGGTAAACAAAAAGATTCCGAGCAGGAACAAGACGAAACATCTGCAGGAAGCAGAGGCAGCCCCAGGAGCTTCCCCCGCGCAGGCAGGCAGGCAGCCCCAGCCGCTCCCGCAGGCTTTTGTCTGCATTTCGCTGATGCACACAGCGCTGGGGCGGCGGGCATCGCTGCCTGCGGGATCCCTGCCCTGCCCCGAGCACATCCCGGCACATCCCGGCACATGGCAGCCCCTCCGGACACGCAGCCGGGATGCTCCGGGCACAATGGAGCGGCAGCTGCCGGCTGCTTCCCCCCCAGCCCCGCAGCGGCCTGATGTGGCTGCGAGCACAGCCAAGCCGGAGCCTTTGTTGTCACAGCCCGGATTCCTCCAAGACCGCTTAAAAAAAAAAATAAATAAAAAATAATCATCCACCCTCCGAGAGACGGGGATGTGAGCGCATGGAAAATGAGCGTGTTCCCCAGCGGGCGGCTCCGAGCAGCGCCGCCCGGCCGAGCCCCGCGGGGGATGCGCGCTCCCGGCGGGCTCCGGAGCCCCGAGAACCCCGCGGTGTTCGTGTGCGAGCGCGGCGGGGCGCGGGACACGGAGGGATGCGGGGCACACGGCAGGGATTCGCGGGGAACGGGAGGGATGCGGGCACGGAGGGCAGCGCCTGCGGCCCGAGGCATCGCCGGCTGAGCGCGCCGGGCCCCGGCTCCGGCCCTTCCCGGGCCCGGGCGCGGCCCTGCCCGTCCTCCCGTTCGCCCCGCACCGCCCCGAGCCGTTCCCGAGGCGGCCACGGCGCTCCTGCGCTTACCGGAACCGGGGCGAGTCCTTGATGCACTCCTCGAACTCCACCGTCATCCTGCCGGCTCGGGCTCGGCCGCGCTGCGCTCAGCGGAGGAAGCGCATCGCCCGCCGGCTGCGAGACGCGCGGGCAGCGCCCGCCCCCCGCACCGGCCCGCCTCCCGCGGCACCGCCACCGAACCGGGGACGGCACCGGGAACGGCACCGGGAACAGCACCGGGAACCTGACCCCCTCCCGCACACCGGACACAGCTCTGACCCCCCTGTGCACACCGGACAGAGCCGTGATCCCCCTGTGCACACCGGACACAGCCCTGACTCCCCTCCCGCACACCGGACAGAGCCCTGACCCCTCCAGCCCCCGGACACAGCCCTGGCCCCTCCATGCACCGGACACAGCTCTGACCCCCCTCCCGCACACCGGACACAGCCCTGACCCTCTGTACACACCGGACACAGCCCTGATCCCCCTGTGAACACCGGACACAGCCCTGATCCCCCTGTGAACACCGGACACAGCCCTGATCCCCCTGTGCACACCGGACACAGCTCTGATCCCCCTGTACACACCGGACACAGCTCTGACCTCCCCCCATGCACCGGACACAGCCCTGACCCTCTGTACACACCGGACACAGCCCTGACCCCTCCAGCCCCCCCGGCTGTGCTGGGTGGGTGACACGGGCACGTCCCCGTCCCCTGTCCCCAGCCCCGCGGGTTCTGCCAGGCTGGGAAGGAGCTCGGAGATGCCCGGAGTCCCCAGCCTTGGCGGGAGCTTTAAGCTCGGCTCAGCACCCCCAGAGCGCAGCACCAGAGGCACCCTGGGCACCTCCAGGGCTGGGGACCCCTCTGCCTCCCTGGGCAGCCATTCCAGAGCTGAGCACCCCAAGGTTTCAGTATCTGATGGGAATCTCCCCTGCCTCAGTTTCCTCTCCTCCTCTCACGGCAGAAGGGATGAGACCCCACCTGAACGGCCCCTGTGAAGTGCTGAGGCTCCCTGAGCCTGCTCTTCTGGAGCCTGACCCAACCCAGCTCCCTCAGCTGTTCCTCAAAAGTCATTTTCAGCCCTTTGAGAGCCTCGCTGGCCTCCCCTGGACGTGCTCCAGCCCCTCAGTGTCCTTTTTAGAGTGAAAGCATCGACTCCAACTCCACCCAGACCTGGCACTGAGTGCCACACCCTTAAAAACCTGCCGGGATGGGGACTCCAGCACCTCCCTGGGCAGCCCATTCCAAACCCTTTCCATGAAGAAAACGTTGCCTGTTCCTGGTTTTTGGGTGAGGGTGAGGCTCAGAAGACACTCAGGACAGGAGTGGCTCAGGGCTGAGCTGGCTGTGACACCGGCTCGGGTGGATGGTGACAACCTCAGGGCCAGCTGGTCACACCAGGGAGGAATTTTTTACCATGAGGGTGTTAAAATAACGTCAAAGATTGTTGGATTATGCTTTTTTTCTGACCTGGAGATGGGGTAACTGAAAGATGTTTTAAAAACTTTTATTTTTGGTCTCACGTGAAGGGTGAGACAATACAGATGTTGTAATTCTCTACAAATCTATTTCCCACATTAGATTGTCCAGAGAGTTTTGGCTGGAAATATTCCTATCCCTGGAAACATCCAAGGTCAGGGTGAGCAAATTGGCCTGGTGGAAGGTGATCGAGGCAGAGGGTTGGAATAGCTGAATTTCAGCTTTCCAATCCAAACCATTCCGTGATTTCCAGGCAGGATTTCCAGAATTTCAACTTTCAAATCCAAACCATTCCATGATTTCCAGAATAGCTGAATTTCAGCTTTCCAATCCAAACCATTTCATGATTTCCAGAATAGCTGAATTTCAGCTTTCCAATCCAAACCATTCCATGATTTCCAGGTAGGATTTCCAGAATTTCAACTTTCCAATCCAAACCATTCCATGATTTCCAGGCAGGATTTTCAGGCAGGAAGAACAACCCCAATCCAGTGGTAAAATTCCATAACCAGCAGCAGGATTGGCACCAATCCTGTCCCTCCTTAATCCACTTTTTAATTTTCCATGGGCAGTGGATTTGCTGCTGCCAGCATCCAGGGGATAAGTCTGCAGGAATCCCCCGGGGGAAGGAGCACATCTGGATTTGTGGGTCCAGCCGAACTGAATTCCATTGCCACAGGACAGGCAACAAAATGTGGTGTGGCTAATTGAGGTTAATTAATCCTGATCTTCCACCCACCCAGCACCACAGACACAGCAGCAGCAACCACATCGTTCACTGATGGTTTTAAATGAACTTTCTGTGAACTCAGAGGAGGGCCTGATGTGGAAATCCCACGTTTGAAGAAAATCCTACGTCTAAACCAAAGCCACGAGTGAAACAAGAGGGCCAGGGGGCCCTGACAGAAGTCACAGGGAGACCTCACCCAGCCATGGACAGGAACAGTGAGGAAATGAAGTGAAATTTGATGTTTAATGCCATTTTTGCACACAAATTGCAGCCAAAATTCACCTCCAGGCCAGGCTGTCGTTTCCATCTGAACTGAGAGAAAGGCTTGAAGTGGAAATCCCATGTTTGAAGAAAATCCTACATAATAAAGACCTAAACTGAAGCCAAGAGTGAAACAAGAGCCCCAGGTGTGTCTGAATCCATGGCAGGTGTCACAGGGAGACCTCACCCAGCCATGGACAGGAACAGTGAGGAAATGAAGTGAAATTTGATGTTTAGTGCCATTTTTGCGCACAAATTAACACCAAAATTCACCTCCAGACCAGGCTCTTGTTTCCATCTGAGTTCCCAGAAGTGAAATGAGGTGAAATTTCATGTTTAGTGCCATTTTTGCGCACAAATTAACACCAAAATTCACCTCCAGACCAGGCTCTTGTTTCCATCTGAGTTCCCAGAAGTGAAATGAGGTGAAATTTCATGTTTAATGCCATTTTTGCACACAAATTGCAGCCAAAATTCACCTCTAGACCAGGCTCTTGTACCCAGACCTTGATTTGTTGGCCACAGCCACGAGTGAGAGCAAAAATCTGAATTATTTAAGGGTTATCAGAGGCTGGAGTGTTCTGAGGAATTCAGGGGAGGGAATTAGCCCTGGAAAACACCTGGGCCCAGGAGAAGGGGTGAGGTGAGCTCTTTTTCTTTCTGTTTTGTGAGGTTTCACAGAGGTCAAACCAACCCAAGGCTCCTTTTCCAGTGATGCCTTTTTGTGCTGCCTAAAAACAGAGGCCAGACAAAATTAAAGAGAATAAAAAGCAGTTCTATTTATTTGAAGGGCCTTCAGGTACATTTAGGGCAGATGAAGCCCCCCCAAAAAAATGGACAACAAATCACAGGTTTTCATATTTTTATGTTTGGTTCATCTGCATATTGGGGGTGAATCTCCCAATTACAGCTTCAGGTAATGAAGGAATTTACCCCAAATTTTCTCCCCCCCCCAACTCATTTTTGTTTAACTTTTTTGGGTCCTGAGGCAGTGAGGTGTCCATGATTCCCAGGCCTGGAGAGGAATTGTTGCATCTGAAAATAAAATGTGAAGACAGCAGCTCACACTGTACATGGAATTTAGAGTTCTGCACTAAAGAACTGCAAATATATTAAAAATACAGAAGTTAAAATCCAAAGGCATCACCGGCAGGGATGGAAGTGAGCAGCTCCTGCCTGCACAAGGATTAGAAATCCCCCTCCTCTCCAGAGCTGAAAGTCATAACTTTTTTTCATTCCAGCATGGTGTGTGGCCTGAAAGCTGCCTGGGTTTTGCCATTCAAAACAGATCTCAGACTTGCATGAGGGGAATTTTTCTCTCCAGGGATTTTTCTCTTCCTCTCCCTGCTTCACCAACGAGTTGGGTGCCTGTTTGAGGTTCTTGCCCATCCAGATATTGCAGTTCAGTGTTTTAGAAAGGAGTTTTAAATGCAGATTACAGGCATTGAGAACATCTGCAGCCTTTGTGTTTTACCATTTTCTTGGTTTATTTTTGTCCCTGGAGCTGTTATTTCCTCTCAGCTGTTATTTACACATCTTTCCAGGCTGAACTGGATGGTTTGGGATTGCCTGGAACGCCCGTGCTGGCAGGATTTGGCTTGGAAGGGACCTTAAAAATCACTCAGTTCCCACCCCTGCCACCACCCCAGGGTGCTCCAACCTTGCCCTGAACACTTCAGGGATCCAGGGGCAGCTTCCCTGGGAATTCCATTCCAAGGAAGCCATTCCCCATGTCCTGTCACTCTGTCCCTTGTCCCCAGTCCCTCTTCAGCTCTCCTGGAGCTCCTTTAGGCCCTGGAAGGTGCTCTGAGGTCTCTCTGGAGCTTCTCTTCTCCAGGTTTTTCACATTCCCAGCTCTCCCAGCCCTTGGAGCATCTCTTGTGGCCCCTGCTTTATGTGTTTTCTTAGCTGAAATCAACACAATATTATTATTATCTTTATTATTATGATTTTCTTCCATCCAGCTGAGTTGCAGGCAGCACAGCTGGAGAGCTGAGGAGCATCCAAGGCAGAGCACAGGGTTCCAGAGGGGTTTGGTGTTTGCACAACATCCCAGCTCTCATCCCATCCCCATGAGCAGATCCCAGTTCCCATGAGCACATCCAGGGTCCCCATGAGCAGGTCCCAGTTCCCATGAGCAGATCCCAGTCCCCACGAGCAGGTCCCAGTTCCCATGAGCAGGTCCCATCTCCCACCAGCCCATCCCCGGTCCCAATCAATCTATTCCCGGTCCCCATCAACCCATCCCTGCTCCTCAGAAGCCCATCCCCGGTCCCCATGACCACATCCCGGTTCCCACGAGCCCATCCCCGGTCCCTACCAGTCCATCCCGGTCCCCACCAGCCTATCCCGGTCCCTATGATCACATCCCCGGTCCCCACGAGCCCATCCCGTTCCTCGCCAGCCCGCTCTCTCCCGCTCGCCGCCGTGCCGTGCCGAGCCGTGCCGTGCCGAGCCGAGCCGTGCCGTGCCGAGCCGAGCCGTGCCGTGCCGAGCCGGAAGCGGCCGTGCCGGCCGGGGGAAGGGGCGGCGCTGCCGGGCGGTGCTGCCGGCCCCGCTCCGCTCTCCGTGCCGGGTCCCGCCGGGCCTGTGCCCGGGTCCCCGCGGCCCAGCCATGGGCGGTGCCCCTGCCCGGTACCTGGTGTTCTTTCAGTACTTTGGCACCAGGTACAGGTACGTGCCCCGCTGGGCCCAGCCACGTGCGGGAGCGGAGCAGCGCCGGGGAGGGATGGAGAGCAGGGCTGGGAGATGGAGACTGGGGACAGAGCCTGGGGACAGAGCTTGGAGAGAGCAGGGCTGGGAGAGCTGGGCTGGGAGAGCAGGGCTGGGAGAGCAGGGCTGGGAGAGAGCAGGGCTGGGACAGCAGGGCTGGGAGAGCTGGGCTGGGGGATGGAGATTTGGGACAGAGCCTGGGGACAGAGCTTGGGGACAGGGCTGGGAGAGCAGGGCTGGGAGATGGAGACTGGGGACAGAGCTTGGAGAGAGCAGGATTTGGAGAGAGCAGGGCTGGGGGATGGAGACTGGGGACAGAGCCTGGGGACAGAGCTTGGAGAGAGCAGGGCTGGGAGATGGAGACTGGGGACAGAGCTTGGAGAGAGCAGGATTTGGAGAGAGCAGGGCTGGGGGATGGAGACTGGGGACAGAGCCTGGGACAGAGCTTGGAGAGAGCAGGGCTGGGAGATGGAGATTGGGGACAGAGCTTGGAGAGAGCAGGGCTGGGAGATGGAGATTGGGGACAGAGCTTGGAGAGAGCAGGGCTGGGAGAGCAGGGCTGGGAGAGCAGGGCTGGGGGATGGAGTTTGGAGAGGGCAGAGTTTGGGGATAGAGCTTGGGGACAGAGTTTGGAGAGAGCAGGATTGGGAGAGAAGGGCTCAGGGATAGAGCTTGGGGACAGAGCCTGGGAACAGAGCTTAGAGAGAGCAGGGTTTGGGGATAGAGCTTGGAGAGGGCAGAGTTTGGAATGACAGGATTTGGAGAGAGCAGAGTTTGGGCAGGAACGGATGAGAACAGTGTTTGGGGAGCAGAGTTTAGGCAGGGGAGAGTTTGGGGATGGATGGATGAGAACAGAACTTGGGGGAGCAGAATTTGGGAGAGCAGAGTTTGGGGAGGAAGCAATGAGAGCAGAGTTTGAGATGGCAGAGTTTGGGACAGCATAATTTAGAATTTAGGGAGAGCAGCGTCTGGGAGAGCAGAGTTTGGGATGACAGAATTTGGAGAGGGCAGAGTTTGGTGAGGGATGGATGAGAACAGTGTCCAGGTGAGGGATTAACCCCTTGCTGGGCAGGTGAGAGCAGGCAGGGAGCTGGACCTTGCTGTGCACAGAAAAAGGGATGGTTCAGGCAGGAAATGCATAAAACCAACAAGGCAAAAAGACAGGAAAGGGCAGAGAAGAAGGGAGGTTTCTCCCAGGCAGGAGGACAGAGCAGGAAGCTCATCACAAACTCTTTTAGTCAATTTATGACACTCACAAGTTCTGGCCTCCAACTGGCAACCAGCTCCTGACCCTAAAATAGTTCTATCTCCAAATAATTTAATTTATCTGCCTTATACTCCTGTCAGCCTCAGTCTCAAGGGCCAGTCCAGAGAGGAACATTTGAAGGATTATTTTATTTCCAACATCCCTTCTTGAAAATAACCACTTTTAATAATTTAAATTTTAATAAGTTCAATAGCCAATAAGGCACTTTCCCTTCCCAATCCTCAGTGTTTGTTCCCTGCAAGATCCAGGAAGTCCCCCAGGAAGTCCTGGATTTGTTGGTGGGCTCTGTCAATTCCCTAAATGTTGCCACACATCAATAAATCATATTTGTTTTGCTCTGCAGTGGGGTTATGGAGACCAAGAGTGATCAGGCCCTGGTTGGAGTCCAGAATTATCTGGAGGTAGGTCCTGTTGTCATGAAAATGAAGCTTTTAGGGTCACATTATTCAGCTCCAGAAATTACCAGGGCTGAATATTATTTTGAGGTGGACACTCAGTAAAACTGGCAGAGTGCTAAACACTGCAAAGTTCAAAACCAAATACCCAAAATCATGTCATGATACAGATTCTGACCTTAAAAAGATGTGAACCCTTCAGTGAGACTTAATTGAGCCCAGAACTGGCTCTGAGAGCCCCTCAGCTGCTGCCCCACCTGAGCTTTGTTAACACTTGTGGCTTGTCCTAAAAACTGCCTCAGTCCTGCTTCATGTCCAGTTCCTTCATGGATTTAGCAGCTGGATGCTGTTTTCTCCCAGGAGAGGATGTTCCTGACAGAGGTTTGCAGAACAAAGCACAGCAGGATGTCCATTGTTCTGTGCTGCTTCCCATTTTTTTTAAATTTATTTTGGAGTTCTGTTATGCCAGGGGGAAAAAAAAATCCTGTTAATCCTGCACTGCTCCCAGGGATTCCCTTGGACCTGGGAATGGTTTGAGAAGCCCAGGTGCTGTTTGGGCTGGCAGAGAGTGTGAACAGGAATGAAAAAACCCCAATTTTACACCCAGGAGTAGAAAATGGGTCACCTGAGCATCAAAATGCAGTTGTGATTTAAATTGTAAATTAATTACAAGCTGCTGTTGTGCTGCTGAGTCAGGAATCAAAAGGAAGGTGAATTATTTCTCTTGTCTTGGAAGCATCATGGAGTTCAAAATGAAAGTTGTGCCTGCTTGGAAGATAAGAGGTTGTTGATTCCTGCGGGTCAGAGCACATTTTGTCACTCAGCTCCCATCTGTGGTCAGGCTGTCTGACCCAAATCCCAAACTGCAGCACTTTGGGATGCTCTGCTCTGCAGCCCTGGTGCTGTGGAGGACAGAGCTGTCCAGGAGCAGCCTTGGTGACACCCCAGGTGACAAGGGCAGGACATCCCCACGCTCTGTGGGGCTGAGAATTCCTGCTGCTCTCTTGGGAAGGCTGCCCTAGAGCTGAGGCTGGACAGAGTTAAAGAATAAAGCAGGGATTTATGACAAGGATCTCCTCAGTGGATCCACCTTGGGCAGCACGAGAGCCCAAAAAAGATCTCCTCAGTGGATCCACCTTGGGCAGCACGAGAGCCCAGCCAGGGCTGCAGCCAAGGTGAACCCAAATGGTCCCAAAATGAACCCAAGATTAACCCAACTGGTCCCAAAATGAACCCAAGGTGAACCAAAATGGTCCCAAAATGAACCCAAGATTAACCCAACTGGTCCCAAAATGAACCCAAGGTGAACCAGAATGGTCCCAAAATGAACCCAAGGTGAACCAGAATGGTCCCAAAATGAACCCAAGGTGAACCAAAATGGTCCCAAAATGAACCCAAGGTGAACCAAAATGGTCCCAAAATGAACCCAAGATTAACCCAAATGGTCCCAAAATGAACCCAAGGTGAACCAAAATGGTCCCAAAATGAACCCAAGGTGAACCAAAATGGTCCCAAAATGAACCCAAGGTGAACCAAAATGGTCATCCAAAAAATGGATGATCGGGCACAAAATTATAAGTTTTAGTCCATTTGCAGATTGCAGTTCATTGTCCAATCCCAGCTCAGCCCCTGCAGTCCCATCCTTGTTCTTCTCTCTCCAGCCCACGCTGTTTGTGCTCTTGGGCTGAGATTTGGATCATTTGTCCTTGGTGCCCAGCTGGAGCAGGAATTGTTTTGTCTCCCTGCTCTGTGCACAGAGCTCACCATCCCATAATATGAACCCAGACCCACTAAAGCACACTAAAGCAGCACAGAATGTGAGAAACAGAAAAGCCAAAACCTGAGGCATGGACTCAAAAGGAAAGTGTGAGGAATTATGTCTGGAATCAAGAGTTCTAAGGGTGTATTCATGTGGCTTTTTGCCTGAGACTGTGGCAGAGAAAGTGGCTAAATATTGTGCAGAACCCAAAAAGGATTTTCTATCCCATTTATCTCATCCTCTGAGCCATGCAGGGCCCCAGGCTCTGGATGTGGGGGTGAGCCCAGCAGTTGTTCTGCATTATCCCAGCGATGTCTGAGCAGGCACATGGGTAGGGTGGATGATTAGAGGAGAAAAGAAGAGGAGAAAAAGACAAACATGAGCTTATTTGGTGTTGCCTTTTCCCCAGTATCAGCACTTTGCGGGCCAGCTCGGTGCTTTCATGTGGTGGTATTGATGCTGGGCACTGCTGTGTCTATTGGAACCACATGGGAAGCCTTAAAGCAGCTTTAATAGAAAACTTCTGGGGCCTGCAGGAATTTCTCTTCCTTCCTCCTTTTCTCTGCAGCCTTGAACTTCACTGCTTTCCCCAAAGCCAGGAAGGCGAGCGAAGGGAAGGGCAAAATTAAAGCTCTAATGAGATCCTTATTGTGTTCTGAGGATGTCCAGCCATTTGTTTGTAAGCAAATAACCTGGGAGGTGCAGACTTGGTGTTCCAGCAGCTGGTTTGTGGAAATTGGAGTGGGCTGGTTGGTTTTGTGTCACTTTGGGCTGGGGCTGAGCAGATTTGTGTCACTGCAAAGCTTTTTTAGTCCTTGCTGCTGCTCTGTGACAGAGCCCTGCGACTGCCCAGAGGAAATGGAGCCTTGGTTTAGTCCAGAGATACTTGTAGGAGCTTTTAATCTTTCTTTGAGGGGGGTGAGCTTTGCTGACAACATTTGATTTCTTGGAGACAAGTCTTGGAGCACTCAGAATCCCAATTTGGGCCCAAAGCAAGCTCCAGGCCTTGTTTCCCCTCATGGGAAGGTTGGAGCTCTGTCATTTGTCTCCCTCCAGTTCTTTGTGGAAACTTTTCACATCCAGGACTTCATGCTTTGTGTCTTGTAGGAGCTTTTCATCCCTTTTTGAGGGGGGTGAGCTTTGCTGACAACATTTGATTTCTTGGAGACAAGTCTTGGAGCACCAGTTTGGGCCCAAAGCAAACTCAAGGCCTTGTTTCCCCACATCCAGGGCTTGGAGCTCTGTCGTTTGACTCCCTCCAGTTATTCTTTGGAACTTTCAACATCCAGGACTTCATGCTCTGTGTCTTGTAGGAGCTTTTCATCTTTTTTTGAGGGGGGTGAGCTTTGCTGACAACATTTGATTTCTTGGAGACAAGTCTTGGAGCACCAGTTTGGGCCCAAAGCAAACTCCAGGCCTTGTTTCCCCTCACGGGGAGGTTGCAGCTCTGTGATTTCTCTCCCTCCAGTTATTCCTTGGAACTTTCAACATCCAGAACTTCATGCTGTGTCTCCTGTAGAAGTTTTCATCTCCTTTTGAGGGGGTAAGCTTTGCTGACAACATTTCATTTCTTGGACACAGATGTTGAAGGACAGAATCCCAATTTGGGCCCAAAGCAAACTCCAGGCCTTGTTTCCCCTCATGGGGAGGTCGCAGCTCTGTCATTTGGCTCCCTCCAGTTATTCATGGAAATTTTCACATCCAGGACTTCAGGCGCCGTCTCAATTCTTAGGAATGTCTCTGCTATAAAGGAAGATCTCACCTTTTGCTGTTTTCTTGGGATCTGCAGATTTCCCATCCCTCTCAGGCCTGCCTGAACCATCTCCCATTTCCCATTTTGCTGGGAATTGCTGCCCAAACTCATCTTCCCCTCCCAAAATCCTGATTTGGCCAGCAGCCTTGTGCTGAGGGCAGAAATTGTTCCTCATGAAAGGAAAAGGGAGGAGGAGAGGAGACGAAGGAGAAACACCAGCTCCTTACTATGCAAGGCAGCTCTGGTCCAACCTCCTTCCCCACATCCTTTAAAAAAAGAGCAAGAAATTCAAGCAGACAAAGAGAACTGTCATCTTCAGCCTCTGTTTTGATAATAACCCCAGCGATGTCGCAGATTGCTTTGGAAACCTTCTCTTCTAACAAAATCCACATTCTCAGCGTGTCCTTTCTGGCATTCACTTCCATTTCATCCATCCAACTGCAAATGAGCTGGGTTTTTAATTACTTTCAGCTGACATAGCACCCAGTGAGTCAGGGAGGCTGGCATGACTTGCAACCAGCAGCTTGCTTGTTATTAATTATTAGAACACTGTAATTAATAAATTGTGCAGCTCCCTGGCAGGGCACTGCAGCCTCTGTGTCTGAGGCCAGAGGATGAAAGCATGACCAGTCCAGGGGAAGAAAAATTTATTTTTCCAAAACATTCCCAATGCCTGTAAAGGTCGATGGAAAATCTGGAGGATTTTTTTATTTTTTATTTTTTAAATTCAGACTTCAGGAAGAGAAGTGGATGAACTTTTGCTCCCCTGCCATGGGTGATGTTCATCAGTGGGCTCGTTCTTCCCTCCAGCATGAGAGGAAAAGTGAGCTGGGAGCAATAAAAGCAAGCTGGAATGTGGATCCATATCGTTCTGGCAGCCAGCAGTGGAAATTCCAGCGTAATTCCAGCTATGGAAGGCTCAGTGAATGGAGCCTGTTAGCAGGACGCAGCAGCTAAATGCAATTAATGCTTCCCCCTGCATCCCTGGCATGTCTGAGGGATAAACTTCCACCCTGGCTGCTCCAGGAATGTGGCTGCGTGGAAAAATTCAGGATAAATTCAGATGGGCGAGATGTGAGAGGCCTCCAGCAGGTGCCAAAGCCAAGATTTCAGTGTTTATAGCATCTGCTAAATAAAAAAACTAATTTTTTTTTTTAAAAATTGATGTTTCCTGTGGCTTAAAGGAGGGAGCAGAGAGCTGTGAACTCTCAGTTCACACACACAGGAGAGCCCAGCTCCTTTATTCCTTTATCTTCTTCATTTCTTTTTAGCTGGGTGAAATCTTGAACTCCTGCTTCAGTTCCCCCCTGGGAACCCACAGAGGATCCCAAACAGGATGAACAGCACCAAAAGCTCAGATGAAAGAGAGCAAGGACAGGAAAAACTGGTCCCTATCCAAGCAATTCCTGCATGTAAATAATGCAATTTTTTTTGAAATTCAGGGTGGGGGATATTAAAAGATTAAAGGAGGGGAGGAAACCTTCAGTACTCAAAGGATTTTGGATATTCAGATAGGAAATATTTGCAAAGGTGAAGGGGTCATTTCTTAGCTGCCTGCAAAGAGAAGTTCAGGAGTTCTCTCTTCCAGGAGATTTTATCCCATCCAAAAGAAATGGAATATTAAAATTGAAGCTGGAGGCAGCAGTTGGTAGAATATTATCAGTGTATTTTGGAGGGAAAAAAAAAATCCACAAAGCTTTGAGCTTCACAGACTGGGATTTATTTGGTGGTGTTGATGGTGCCATTCCTCCCTGGGCTGCTCAGAAAGGTGGGAAAAATCTGATGGAGAAGAAAAATCTCATTTGTGGAAGGAAAACCCCCAGTCCTGGCACCTTTGTGGATTTTGCTGGGGAAATAATCAGATTTACTTGAGGCATTGCTCCTCTTTTCCTCTCCAGTCTGGTTTCCAGTGGAGAAATTCAGTGTTGTGCTGATCCAGCTTGGTTCCTGATTATCCAGGTGGAGCTGGAACAGATAAAGAAATGAATATTTTTCACTTATTTTGTGCACTGAAGGAAGCTCACACAACACAAAACAGATAAAGAAATGAATATTTTTCACTTATTTTGTGCACTGAAGGAAGCTCACACTACACAAAGCAGAGGATAGAGATGAGAAGTTCATTTTGACTTTATTTTATCCCCCTAAGGAAGCTCTCGTGGCATTTTGGATCCTCTGTTTGAGGTGATTTCAGGGCAGAAGCTGAAAAACCACTGATTTTAGGAGAAATTCTCCCAAACCCTCAATTCTTTTCAGCCCACAGTAACTCCAAACTCCTCTGGGAGCAACGCAAGGTGTGGTTAGCCAGGAGTGATGCCTCAGGTTTTGGCTTTTCAGATTCTGTGCTGATTTCTCAGGTTTTAAGACAATTTTGCTAGATTATTGCTGAATTATTGCTAAATTATTGCTGAATTTTTGCTAAATTATTGCTGATTTTTTTTCTGAATTATTGCCAATTTATGGCTGAATTATGGCTGAATTATGGCTGAATTTTTGCTGAATATTTGTTGAATTATTGCTGAATTACTGCTGAATTATTACTAAATCATTGCTGAATGATTGCTGAATTATTGCTGATTTTTTGCCGAATTAGTGCTGAATTTTCCCCGAATTATTGCAGAATTATGGCTGAATTTCTGCTTGAATTTTACTGAATTTTTGCCATATTATTGCTAGATTTTTGCTGTATTTTTGCTGCATTTTTGCTGTATTTTTGCCGAATTAGTACTGAATTTTCCCCGAATTATGGCAGAATTATGGCTGAATTTCTGTTGATTTTTGCAGAATTTTTGCCGAATTATTGGTACATTTTTGCTACATTTTTGCTGTATTTTTGCCGCATTTTTGCCACATTTTTGCTGTATTTTTGCTGCATTTTTGCCGTATTTTTGCTGCATTTTTGCCGTATTTTTGCCGCATTTTTGCCGTATTTTTGCCGTATTTTTGCCGCATTTTTGCCGTATTTTTGCCGCATTTTTGCCGTATTTTTGCTGCATTTTTGCCACATTTTTGCTGTATTTTTGCTGCATTTTTGCCGTATTTTTGCCGCATTTTTGCTGCATTTTTGCCATATTTTTGCCGGATTTTTGCCATATTTTTGCCATATTTTTGCCGTATTTTTGCCGCATTTTTGCCGTATTTTTGCCGCATTTTTGCCGTATTTTTGCTGCATTTTTGCCACATTTTTGCTGTATTTTTGCTGCATTTTTGCCGTATTTTTGCCGCATTTTTGCCGTATTTTTGCCGCATTTTTGCCGCATTTTTGCCGTATTTTTGCCGTAATTTTGCTGCATTTCCCCCAATTTTCCCCTTTCCCTGTCAGAAGGCAGCCGAGCAGCTGAAGCCCAGCGCTCCCATCAAGTTCCACATCTCCAGCCGCACGGACAGCGGCGTGCACGCCCTGGCCAACGCCGCCCACCTGGACATCCGCAGGGCGCCGGGCAAGGCGCCCTTCACCGCGCAGCAGCTGCTGCAGGGGCTCAACCACCACCTGCGGCCCGAGCCCATCCGGTGAGTCGTGCTCGCCAAAAACATCCCTGCCTTTTGCTTTGCTTTGGCTGCAAAAGCAGGAAAAACTGTCCCTAGCCGAGGGATTGCTGCGGGTAAATAATGCACTTTTTTGGAGGTCACGGAGGGGGTTGTGGGGAGATGAAAGGAGAGGAGGAAACCTGCGGTGCTCAAAGGATATTCACATAAAACTCTGAATTTTTCTCTGCTTATCTTAACCTGTCTCTGCTTAAAAAATATTATATCTATGTATTCTAATATAGTAAGTATTTGAAATATATATTCTAAATATTAGATATATATTACATATTAGAATTATTATATGTTATGTATTATAATGTAATATATGATATTTGATAGTTAATATATAATATTTAATATATAATATTTAATATTTAATATTTAATATATAATAGAAAATATATAATATATAATATTCTATATATAATATATAATATATAATATATAATAGAAAATATATAATAGAAAATAGAAAATATATAATAGAAAATAGAAAATAGAAAATAGAAAATATATACTATATACTATATACTATATATATAATAGAAAATAGAAAATATATAATAGAAAATATATACTATATACTATATACTATATAATATATACTATATACTATATAATATATACTATATACTATATAATATATAATATATAATAGAAAATATATAATATGATATAGTATAATACATTATAATATAATGTTATGCTACATAATATATTATATATTGTAATATAATTATTATATATTATATTATCTATTCTAAATATTATATCTATATATTCTAATATATATTCTAAAATATTACATCTATGTATATTATATCTGTGTATATTATATCTATATATGTTATATCTATATCCATATTGTATCTATATAATTTCACTATTATATAGTGAATTCACTATTTATATTCACTATTTATATTCACTATAAATTCACATTCTCACCTCTAACCCATAAGTCTAGAAGCCTTTTCCAAGGTCTAAAATCAAATCCTGGGTTTAATTCCAAGCTTTGGCTTCCAGGCCCAAAGTTCTGAGAGTTCTTTACATTTCAGACTCCAGCACCATCCCCCAAAGCTCAGAGCGTATTTCGGAGCTGGAGTCGTTTCAGGAGGGCTCTGCTGTCCCCGGAGTGGGCCTGGCAGCGTGGGAGTCTCACACCTCCTGTTCTGCTTTTGGAGCACACAATTAAAGATTCCTGAGTGACAAGGAGAGCTGCCTTTCCTCCCACCTCCTGCAAACTGCCTGTTAGTGCTGTCGTGGAGAGAGCAGAGCATTTTTTCTCTCATACTTTGCCATTTCTAGTTAAATGTCTTTGGGCTTTTTTTTTTGCCTTTGATCTCAAAATTCAGGCCCTGTTGAAAATGCTAAAAAATGCCACAGTTCTTTATTTACAAGCTTTGGAATTTTTTGTGTCCCACAGCATCCTCAGTGCCCAGCGGGTTTCCAGCAGCTTCCAGTGGAAAACCTTTGGAATTTTTGTGTCCCTGTTGATGGAAAAGCTTTGGAATTTTTTGTGTCCCACAGCATCCTCAGTGCCCAGCGGGTTTCCAGCAGCTTCCAGTGGAAAACCTTTGGAATTTTTGTGTCCCTGTTGATGGAAAAGCTTTGGAATTTTTTGTGTCCCACAGCATCCTCAGTGCCCAGCGGGTTTCCAGCAGCTTCCAGTGGAAAACCTTTGGAATTTTTGTGTCCCTGTTGATGGAAAAGCTTTGGAATTTTTTGTGTCCCACAGCATCCTCAGTGCCCAGCGGGTTTCCAGCAGCTTCCAGTGGAAAACCTTTGGAATTTTTGTGTCCCTGTTGATGGAAAAGCTTTGGAATTTTTTGTGTCCCACAGCATCCTCAGTGCCCAGCGGGTTTCCAGCAGCTTCCAGTGGAAAACCTTTGGAATTTTTGTGTCCCTGTTGATGGAAAAGCTTTGGAATTTTTTGTGTCCCACAGCATCCTCAGTGCCCAGCGGGTTTCCAGCAGCTTCCAGTGGAAAACCTTTGGAATTTTTGTGTCCCTGTTGATGGAAAAGCTTTGGAATTTTTTGTGTCCCACAGCATCCTCAGTGCCCAGCGGGTTTCCAGCAGCTTCCAGTGGAAAACCTTTGGAATTTTTGTGTCCCTGTTGATGGAAAAGCTTTGGAATTTTTTGTGTCCCACAGCATCCTCAGTGCCCAGCGGGTTTCCAGCAGCTTCCAGTGGAAAACCTTTGGAATTTTTGTGTCCCTGTTGATGGAAAAGCTTTGGAATTTTTTGTGTCCCACAGCATCCTCAGTGCCCAGCGGGTTTCCAGCAGCTTCCAGTGGAAAACCTTTGGAATTTTTGTGTCCCTGTTGATGGAAAAGCTTTGGAATTTTTTGTGTCCCACAGCATCCTCAGTGCCCAGCGGGTTTCCAGCAGCTTCCAGTGGAAAACCTTTGGAATTTTTGTGTCCCTGTTGATGGAAAAGCTTTGGAATTTTTTGTGTCCCACAGCATCCTCAGTGCCCAGCGGGTTTCCAGCAGCTTCCAGTGGAAAACCTTTGGAATTTTTGTGTCCCTGTTGATGGAAAAGCTTTGGAATTTTTTGTGTCCCACAGCATCCTCAGTGCCCAGCACCTTCCAGAGGAAAACCTTTGGAATTTCTGTGTCCCTGTCACCTGTCCCGTGTGTCCCACAGCATCCTCAATGCCCAGCACCTTCCAGAGGAAAACCTTTGGAATTTCTGTGTCCCTGTCACTTTCCCTTGTGTCGCACAATATCTTCAGTGCCCAGCACCTTCCAATGGAAAATCTTTGGAATTTTGGTGTCCCTGTCAATGAAAAACCCTGTCAATGAAAAACCTTTGGAATTTCTGTGTCCCGTGTTGATGGAAAAGCTTTGGAATTTGTGTGTCCCTGTCACGTGTCCTCTCTGTCCCACAGCATCCTCAGTGCCCAGCACCTTTCAGTGAAAAACCTTTGGAATTTCTGTGTCCTGTGTTGATGGAAAAGCTTTGGAATTTGTGTCCCTGTCACGTGTCCTCTCTGTCCCACAGCATCCTCAGTGCCCAGCGGGTTCCCAGCACCTCCCAGTGGGAAACCTTTGGAATTTCAGTGTTCCTGTCAATGAAAAAGCTTTGGAATTGGTGTCCCTGTCAATGGAAAACCTTTGAATTTTTTTTTTGCCTTTGATCTCAAAATTCAGGCCCTGTTGAAAATGCTAAAAAATGCCACAGTTCTTTATTTACCATAACTTTTAAAAAATGGGATCTCTTTATTTTTCCATCATTTTTAAAAAATGGGATCTGAAATGCAGCTGCTGGAGAAAATTCTGGAAGAACATTCCTGGCTAAAAAGAACAATTACAACAGGAAAAGCTGCCTGCACTGAGGAATTTGGTGAGCAGAAATAAGCTGCTCTGAAAGAATCTTCCTAAAAGGAATGGTTATTTAATAAAAACCACACGAGTGTTAGCTCGAGACAGACTGTGTGCTTGTGGAGGCATGCAGACAGAGGGAAAGAAATGTTTTATTCTTGTGTTTAGAGCAGCCTGGAGGTCCTGCCTTCAAACCCCGCTGCATTTGGAGGATGGAGTTTGCATTTCTCCTGATGGTTTATGGCTCTGCAGCAATTCCTGGGCTTGTTTTTGCAAATCTTTGTGGCTCAGCTTTCGTTTCTCCCTCTGTGGTCTGAGCCAGGGGAGGGAGGGCTGTGAGCCAGAGGCTCTTGAGCTGGCAAAAAATCCCCAGAGCACCAACCTTCCTTCAAGTAAATAAAGACATTTGTGGTCCCAAATCCATCCTGTTTTTTTGGCTGCCCTGGCTCCTTTCTCCTCACTAAATTCCAAAGGCAGGGAGGCAAAAGAGCAGGAGAAAAACTCCCTTGTAAGGAGAGCTCTCCTCTAAAGCAGCACCTGCAGGGGTTGTGGCTCCGTGCAGGGGCTCCCTGCTGGGATTTTCCTGCAGGATGGAGAGCAGCAGAATTTTGGGATAAGGGAGAGTCACAGCCAGTGCATGAGGACATTTTGGGAGAGCTGCAGGAGCTCAGGAAAGCTCCATTTCCTTCCTTGGCAGGGAGAATTTGGTCTCTGGGCCCCTCCTTGCTGGCTGCCAGGCTGTGTGGGGCGGTGATTTTGGGTTTGGAGGAACAGGGAATTTTCTCCCTGCTGCCTGTGGACGAAAACAGGGAAGCTCAGCTGCCTGGGGAGCTCCTTTTTGGGTTGTGTGGGGTCCGTGGGAGATGGGTGGACACGGCAGGGAATGGCTTTTGGGGCTGAGAGGATTCTGCTGGGTTCACTCCCACCCCACCCCTCTGCTGTTGGGATTTTCCTGAATTTTCCTGGCTGCACAAAGTCCTGCAGGTCCTGGGGAAGTGACCTCCTTCAAAGCCTCTCCGTCGGCTCGAGGAGCTGCCTTGGGGGTGAGCAGAGGGGAATTCTTCCCTCTCACTCTGGAATTTCTGTGTCCCTGTCCCTGTGTCCCACAGCATCCTCAGTGCCCA